ACCAAGATTTGAACAACGGAGCACCAAGGTAAGTATCGGGATATCACCGCCTACCCACCTAGTGCAAAACACAAGATTGAACAGTCCTACAACCAGGATTTGAACAGCGGAACATCAAGGTAAGTATCGGGATATCACCGCCTACCTACCTAGTGCGAAACACAAGATTGAACAGTCCTACAGCCAAAATTTGAATAGCGGAACATCAAGGTAAGTATCGGGATATCACCGCCTACCTATCTAGTGCAAAACACAAGATTGAACAGTCCTACAACCAAGATTTGAACAGCGGGACATCAAGGTAAGTATCGGGATATCAACGCCTACCAACCTAGTGCAAAACACAAGATTGAACAGTCCTACAACCAAAATTTCAACAGCGGAACATCAAGGTAACTATCGGGATATCACCGCCTACCTACCTAGTGCAAAACACAAGATTGAACAGTCCGAACACAGGGGAAAAGGCAGCGGAGCATCCTAGGATGAATCGCAACACACATTTCTACCAAATGAGACCAAGATGAGAGATTGATCAGGCCAAACAAAAAGGAAAGGGCAGCGGACCATCCTAGGATGAATCGCAACCCACATTACTACCAAATGAGACCAAGATGAGAGATTGAACAGGCCAAACACAAGGGAAAAGGCAGTGGAGCATCCTAGGATGAATCGCAATACATATCATCACCAAATGAGACCAGAAAGAGGGATTGATCAGGCCAAACACAAAGGAAAGGGCAGCAGATCATCCTAGGATGAATCGCAACACACATTATTACTAAGATGAGAGATTGAACAAGCCAAACACAAGGGAAAGGGCAGCGGAGCATCCTAGGATGAATTGCAACACATACCATCACCAAATGAGACCAGAAAAAGGGACTGAGCAGGCCAAACACAAGGGAAAAGGCAGCGGAGCATCCTAGGATGCATCGCAACACACATTACTACCAAATGAGACCAAGATGAGAGATTGAACAGACCAAACACAAGGGAAGGGGCCGCGGAGCATCCTAGGATGAATCACAACACACATTATTACCAAATGAGACCAAGATGAGAGATTGAACAGGCCAAACACAAGGGAAAGGGCAGCGGAGCATCCTAGGATGAATCGCAACACGTACCATCACCAAATGAAACCAGAAAGAGGGATTAAACAGGCCAAACACAAGGGAAAAGGCAACGGAGCATCCTAGGATGAATCACAACACACATTACTACCAAATGAGGCCAAGATGAGAGATTGGGCAGGCCAAACACAAAGGAAGGGGCAGCGGAGCATCCTAGGATGAATCGCAACACACATTACTACTAAATGAGACCAAGATGAGAGATTGAATAGGCCAAACACAAGGGAAAAGGCAGCGGAGCATCCTAGGATGAATTGCAACACACATTACTACCAAATGAGACCAAAATGAGAGATTGGGCAGGCCAAACACAAGGGAAAGTGCAGCGGAGCATCCTAGGATGAATCGCAACACATACCATCACCAAATGAGACCAGAATGAGGGAGAGAGAGAGAGAGGGAGAGAAATAAGAAGAGGAAGAAGACGGAAAAGGAGGAGGAGAAGGAGGAGAAGAAGAGGAAAGAGGAGGAAGAGGGAGGGGAAAAGGAAAAAGGAGAAGTAGTAGAAGAAGAAGAAGAAGAAGAAGAAGAAGAAGAAGGAATTTCTTTCCTCCACTCACCCCCATTTATGCCCTTGGTGATGGACTCTCAATCCTGGTGCTCCCTCCCTGGCTATGGCTTCCACCTTCCCCAAGCTCCTCTCCTCCCTTCTTTTCACTTCCCCCAGGCTATGGTAGGCTCTTCTTACCTTGGCTAAGGAGTCCTCCCCTCTAGAAGGGCTAATGGGACTCCTTCCAACCTCTCCCTCTCTCCCACAGCCTGAGGCTATGACGGACTACCTTCCTCACTACTATCGAACCTCTAGAGCCTCCTCCTTTAACCTATCACCATATCCATGCTCTAGACACGCGCTCATCTGGACAGCATGGGCTCTCCTCATGTAAGTGTGAGAGTGGCGGACTGAACCTTCAGCTTTTGTAGGCTGAAACAGGTGCACCGCCCAGCCCATAGGCCTTCCTCTGCGCCTCAAGGTGGGTCGGGGTACCTCCAAGGTAAATTTTCACCACTAGGCCCTTCCGGAGGTACCTGGGCCTCGTTTTGGCCAGGTACATGCAGTCCGAGTGGTTGGTACCAACTCGGACTACCCCTTGGCCTCTTCTCTTCTTCAAAAATGCTGTCTCATAGGGCCCCCAAGCCCAAGGTGCAGCCTTTTTTGAAAATTGAAGGCCTAGAGGCCTTTTCCTTGCCCTTTTTCCGATCTAGGCCTCTTTTGAGTAGACCGGCCTATTTTCCCATGTGGCGGCACATTTTCAGTCTTCGATCTGGCTAAGATCCACGGTCTACAATATTTCGAGCTACCCCCAAGTGGTTCTTGCTTCAATTTTGGACCTCTAAGTCCATTTTCTCAATTTCTAATGCATTTGGCTCTCTTCTAGGGCCAAATGCACAAATTTGTCTTTTTCCCTCTTTTGTTTATTTCCTTTTTGGGCTGCCACCTCATTCCGGAACTAGTCGTTTTGTGGTGCCCCACAAAAAACGGCTAGTTCTCCTCCACCATATGGTTCACAAAAAAAACGGCCAACTAATTTTTGCATTTTCTCTCATTTTCTTTTCTTTAATTCATATTTTGTGGAGATATGGCCCCAAGGGCCATATCTGTGCAATCCGGATTGCCCTCCTTGAATCTAGGAGGGATGAGGTTATCATACGGACCTGCCAGTCCCTACAGCAGCAGTCCCAACAGGCCGGCACATTTCCCTTCACTCATGTATCCACTTTTGTCTTCTTCTCCCTCCTTTTTCTTCCCTTCTTCGCTCCTTTTTCTTTTATTCCTGTTGTGACAAGTGTCAACCAGCTGTGCAGCCTTTCTCTAGGCTTTAGAACCCCACCCAGGGCCAGATTCTCAACAGTCCCTGGGCCGTTTTACTTTGGTTTGCAATAGTGGCACCCCCATGCTCCTAGAGAGCTTCATTTTGCCTCCGTTATTTTCGATTTTGGGCCCCCTTGCTCCGATTTTCCTCGGACAACCATTTTCTCATGTGGAGCCCCTCGGGGCTCTATTTTCTCAGGCCTAGATAGTCCGTGGTATCTCGGACTGTCGGGCAAGCCCCCCTACCACCATTATTCCTCCGTGCCTTCCTCCCGTGGCCCTCCCACTCGGTTCCGCTGGCGCTTGCACTAGTAGTGCTAATATCTCTCACCGTCTAGATCCTTGATCTCGACGGCGCCGCCCCCTAATGCTGTTGTATATTTTTCTTTGCTTGGCCCAAGGCTCCCTTCGGAACACCCAGGGTCCCCGCCACTTTCTCCGCACTAGTTCCATTTTCTTGTCCCGCCGGTAGTCCCGCCGGTGTGCATCCCGTTTTTTCGACTTTTATTATTTGGATCCACTTTGGTCCCCTACAACATCCCGGATGGCGCCACATTTTATTTTTGTGGTCCCCTTGTCCTCGGCGATCCCAACATCCCTCCTTTGCGTCCGATTTTTCCTGGTCGTGAGATCTCATCTCACGGTCGCCGTTTACCGTCCCCGTTTGCCCCATGTCGAAATCTCCCTCTTTCTAGCCCATTGGCCTTGCCGTAGCTTATTTCCCCTTAGCCTAGGCATCTTCATGCAGTCCGTTGTAATTTGGATTGCAGTAGGGGTCAATTCTCTAGCCCCACTCCCTCACAACTAGCCCTTTACTTGAAAGAAGACAAACGTCCATCTCCCGGATGCATCCGGACTTGATTTTGGCTACGGATGCTCCTAAGACGTGTTTCACCACCCCCATGCAATCCGTTATTTTTCAGTTGTATAGAGCCTTGATTTTCTTTGATTTTCTCTGCAAAAATCAAGGAAATTCAAGGTCCTTTGCAAGCTCCATATTCCAGGATCAATCTGGTCACGGATGCATTTCTCCAAGTGGCCGTTTTTGGCTGTTAGTGCCCTTTTATCTTTTCCTCTCTCCTTTTTTTTCTCCTTCTTTGTCTTTTCTTTTCTTTTCCCTTCATTTGTGGACAGTAGGGACCTGCCAGTCCCTACTTGCTGCAGTCCCAACTGACGGCCAACTCACTCACTCCCTCTCACCCATTTTGTCTTATTGTCCCTCGTTTTTTTTTTTTTTTTTTTTTTTTTTTTTTTTTGTTTTTGTCAATTAGCCGTTAAGGCCCTTTTCTAGGCCCTCCCTCTTAGTTTTGACCCTTCCTTTTCTCTTGGTGCAGTCCGTTGTAAGTAGGAGTGCAGTCTTGGTTCTCTCATGCCCATGGGAGCTCCCTTTTACTCCCGTTTTCCCCCCATAGTGGGCTCCCCTACTTCGATTTACCCCGGGGCCTTATTTTCCCATGGGCTTTTTTTTTACTCAATTTTCTTGGGGGAGGCTGGTCCGAGATTTTTCGGATTGCTCCCATGTCTCCTATTTCAAGTTTCCTCACTTTTGTTTTTTCCTTTCAGCCTCCCCGTTTGCTCCCACTAGTGCCCATACTAGTGGAGCTAATATTCTTTGGCCGTCAAGATCCTCCATCTTGGCGGTGCGCCTTGCTTTAATTATTGCACCTCACGTCCCTCCTTGCTTTTTCTCTCAGGACGTCACGAGTCCCCGCCACTTGTCCCACGCTAGTCCTTCGTATTTGATCTGTCGTGGACCGCCGACTTTTGTTCCGCCGGTGGTCCCCTACACCTAGTCCCGTCGGCGGTCCCCGACACTTAGTCCCGTCGGTGGTCCCCGACACTTTAGCCCCGTCGGCGGTTCCCGACACACTCTCGTCGGTGGTCCCCGACACTTAGCCCCGTCGGCGGTCCCCGACACTTAGTCCCGTCGGTGGTCCCCGACACTTGGTCCCGTCGGTGCTTCCCGACACTTAGTCCTGTCGACCCTCAGGCTGGCCCCTTCCACGCCCGAGCCTTCGCACTCATTTTCCTGTCGCTGCTAGCTCTTTCCTGCGGTTCCCAACCCGGGACGACGTTGCTCTCGCCAGCTTAATCCTTTGCTCTTTTCTCTTCCCGTTCCTCCCTATTCTCGATTTCTCTATCGTGCACAAATTGGCTCTATACAAGCTTTTGAGTGATGGGAAGTCATTCGGGACCCACCGGTCCCGACAACGGTCCCCTATACGCAGGTAGTAGTTTCTGCGAGCTTCCTGCGTCTGGAACAAACTCCTTTGACTTTACCCAGACCAAATCACCTATGGCGAATTGCGAAGGTCATCGGTGCTTGTTGGCTTGTTCTACCATCTGATGTTGGGCCTTAAAGCATCAGTACACCACATATCAGCCCCCGGGTGTCAGCATGAAACCCCCACCACTTCGGAGGCCGCAGATTTTGTTTTTCAACGACGGAACTAGCTGTCTTTCTTGTACTGGATAGCAAATTCCTTCGTATCCGGCGGCAATCTCTGAATTTGATCTGGACTCGGGCAGTCAATTGGGCGTCGGGGCTGACAACCCTTGTGCAATTCATTCGGTGTGCGTGCAGAAGACAGGTGCACCAAATTGTTATACGCAGACTGCACTTTGGGAAAATGCTTGTCCCAATCGATCTGGTCGGGTCTATCTATGTACATGCGAAGCACTTGCTGGAGCAACTTAATCATTTGTTCCCTCTGGCCATTTGTTTCCGGATGTCTACTAGATGACATGGTTAATTTTGTTCCTTAAACTTTCATTAGTTGTTGTCAGTGCTCACCGGTGGCCAGAATCCTTGAACCAATGATTAAAGAACTCGCGGTGGCCAGAATCCTTGAACCAATGATTATCGTCAGTGGGTGGCCAGAATCCTTGAACCAATGATTAAAGAACTCGCGGTCTTCGCCTCAGCGGGCAGCGGAATAGAAACAACAAATTTACTAAATCTATCTACTACTACCATTACTTGACTCTTCCCGTTTCTGCCTTTGTATCCATAAAGTCAATGGACATGGAGTCACCAGGACGGGACAGGTAGCGGTCTCAACAATCCAAAGGGGGTCTGCGTCGAACTCCTGTTCCACTGGCATACTTGGCAACCTTGGATGTAGGTGATGCAATCATATTGCATGTCGACCCAAGTGTAGGAGGAGATTAGCATGTCTTCCTCCAACCGAAATGGCCCTCCGTTTCGTGGCATTCCCCTAAGATAAGACTTTTGGCAGTTTCATTATTCGGGACACAGAGCCTGTCAAACCTGTCAATGTTTTCAAACAGCAATCCGTCAGTCATTCTATCTTTGGGACTTCATGTGGTGCAGTCTGTACCCTCTTAATCAGCTCGCTGTAAACGGGATCGTCAGCTTACGCAACTTTAATCCGTTGCTGCAATTTGGTACCTGCATCTAGGTAAGTCACTATAGCACTGAAAAAGTCTACACTTCTACTCAACGCCTCAGCGACAACATTGTATTTGCCTTTGACTGGTTTCAGCTCAAAGTCAAATTGGTCTATCTCCCCAGCCCGCCTAGTCAACTTGGTTGTCATTTGGGCCTGGGTTTTCAACCAGCGTGGGGTCTCGTGATCAAACAAACTTTAAAGTTTCTTCCTAGAAGGTAATGTCGCAAATGACTCAAGGCCTCGCTTAGAGCACATAGCTCTCCCTCATACGTCGAGGCATCAACCTTCTCACTAGGTAATCTACACGACATGAACTCTACTGGCCTATACCCCTCCCGTCATTCTGTTGGAGTCGACTAGTTTACTAACTACCGGCTCGTCTAGCTTCTTTACCTTCATGTCGAGGTGCATCTTTTGCAACCCTCTTCAGCTAATGTAGCTACGAGTAGATCCACTATCAACTAACGTGCCTAATAGCTCTCTACTAATCTCTACATGACCTATTATTAGTTGCCCTTTGCTCCTCTTCTTCATTTCAGCCTAAGTGTGGCCACGAGTGATCAACTCATCATTGATGCCTGCA